GGTTGCAGTAACTCAGATGTGATGTAAAGAGCGCATTAAATATCAGAAGTATTTGAGGAACTGGCAATAAACCCTGACATTTTCTCAAGACATCCAAAACTTTGCAAAATCTAATATATAAAAATTCCGCGTGATAATCTCAATTCATATGCTCATGAAAAACAACACCCAAAGACTTCGCGGTGGAAGAAAATTCGACTATGTTTTATTTAACGTGAGATTGTAGGGTTCAGTGGTTTTATTGAGGGAAGATTTGGCACGAAAAAGAACAGTTTTTGTTTGGAGACAATATATAAGTAAAGAATTTTCAAGGGTCCAGCTGTATATCTTTTGTAATGTTGAGTTAGCAGTATTTACTAGCTGACTAACATTTGTACCTGAAAAAAAAGTAAGCTTGTATTGTCTGCGTTAATTACGTATTGGTTTGAAGGGTCATCATGCACAATATCGTTTATGAATGTAATGAACAAAAGGGGACCCAATATGCTGCTGTGGAAAACACCATATTTAACAGTTTGCACGGACGAAGTTTCCCAGTTTATAGACACACACTGGTGTCTGTCTGTTAGGTAGCTTTCGATCACATTTAAGTCTACACCATGAATTCCATAACACTGCAGTTTCCCTAATAATGTCTTGTGATTTATTTTGTCGAATGCTTTCGACATATCTAAAAATATGCCGTGTGAACTTTTTGGCTTCAATATTTTCGAGAATCAATTCCTTTTGAAACAATAGGGCTCTTTCGGTTGAGTAGCCTGAACTAAAACCAAATTGTGATTGAGTTATAACGCAATGTTTATAAAAAAATCAACAGTGTAGTAGGAGTAATTTTTTCAAGTCCTTTGAAAAAAGCGGAAGAATTGAAATCGGCGTGTACTTTGTTGAAATAATTTTGTCTCCACCTTTGTGGATCATCGTCACCTTAGCATCCTTCATATTCTGTGGGCAAATGCCGCTTTTTAAAGAAACGTTGTAAATGTGTGTAAGAAATGGACTAAACATGCCAATAACATGTTTTATCGCTTCAATTTTTAGGCCAATTAAATCCTCACTTTTAAACATCTTAAAGCGTTTAAACACTCGTATTACCTCATCTTCATTTGTCGGACAAAAAAATATTGATTCCTTGAGTGGTGCTGGTTAGTACTCAAAAGCATTTCTTTGGTGCGAGCTTTTAGTTATGGATGTGAAGTATTCATTAAATTTATCCGCTAACTCTTTGCCTTTAATAACCTCATTGTGGATTACAAGTTCCAAATAATTTGTAGCTCTACCTCTAGATGTGATGGGGTTTAACTTATTCCAGATTTCTTTGCTCTCAGAGACGCCTTCAAACATATAATGGTAATAATTTCGTTTTGCTTGCCGCTGGAGTTTAGTAACTGAACTTCTGTATTTTTTACACGTCTTCAAATCATCTAAATTTCGGGTAACTAGAAATACGTTAAATACTTTATCTTTTTCCTGCATCATTTTTAGTATCTCAGAAATCATTCAAGGTTTGCGAGCAGGCTTTGGCTTTTTTAAAGCCCTTAGAGGAAAACATTTATTATAGAGTGAAATGAACGTTTGCATGAAATAGTCAGAAGATAAATCAGCAGTGGATAAGAAAAACAAGTTGTCCCATTTTGTTCGCTCAATTTGAACCCGAAAGATCGAAACAGATTTTAAATTCACTGGTCGATATAATATACCAGAAACGGACTGTCTGGGCTGATAACGGAATTGGGGCGCAATGAAATATACAGGAAGGTGGTCACTAATCGCGGTAGATATACTACCTGAAAGTATAGATACTGAGGAAAAGTTTGTTACGAAGAGGTCTAATAACGTTGCACTCGACTGAGTAGTACGAGTAGAAGTGACAATGACATTTGATAAAAAATGAGAATCAAGAAGTGTGGAAAGATCCTTTTGTTTTTGTGTGTTTGCTAACATATCAACATTCTGGTCACCTCCCAATACAATGCTGTAATTATGCTCATTTATGAAAGCGAACACCAGATCCAAGAACTGCATTATGTTGTCATATTACAATCGGGAGGTCTGTACACTGTAACAAATACACAGTTATCCACTTTACCAGATACAATTTCACAATCATCCAAGCATTGACACCAATCATTTAACCGTTCGTATCTCATTTCATGCTTAAGGTACATACATACATTACCTCCTGGTCTTGTTTTTCTATTTAAGTACACTGTATTGTAACCGTCGATAGTGATAACAACCAAGTCATCACGATACCACGTTTCTGTAAGCATTATTACGGAGAAATTAAATTTACATTGATCAAGAAGAGCAAAGAGGTCGTCATCTTTACAACGTGCGCACTGCATTCTATTATGAAGTACAGCTAGGGGTGACCCGCCCAGATTTTCAAAAAGTGCGTTTGCTTGACAGGGAGTAGAAGACTTTATATTAGTGTTCATTTGCAGGTGATAGAGATAAATACATATAAACAGGCAGTACTGTTACTGAGTATAACAAAGTAGCAGCTCTTGAATAGGATGCAGAAGTGAAAGTAAATAAAATACGCAGTAATGATGGTTTGTCAATTTTTGCTGTACCACACTGGTTGCACAACTTTTGATAACCAAACATAGTTAACAAACAAGTGGTGCATAGTATTTAGAGCAATAGCAATATTCGAGTTTACAACAGTATTACCGGAATAAAACAAATAAGCAGTTGTGTAGTACCAAGTAAAAATAGAAGGCAGTGATTACACAAGAGGCCGTGTAACATGCAAAACTGTATGAAAAGGCATTAGGATTACATTTTCCTGTTTTGGAAAAAAAAAGTAAAGGATCGAAAGAAATATAGCATACAGAATCACAACTAAGAAGGCCATTATAACGATTTGTTACACTACCCGCACCAAGTCGTGCTAGCAGGTTATGTAGAGAACTGCTGTGTTCTCTGACTTCTGCATCAGAATCTTTCCCTGTGACACCCAGATGAATTTCCATTTTTTTTCTTTCCTGACTTGCCTCGCTTTAGCTACCAGAATTTTGTTTTCACGACAGAGGTGCTCACTTGACGTATATTAGCCATCTATGTCGAACCCAAGTCTTTTGCATTCAGTTTTCTTTTCTTTGCCGCCGAAAGCATTCTGTTTCTGGCGGCTCTCGAGTGAAACCTCCCGATCACATGTGGCTTACTCTTAACTTTAGATGGCACACGATGTGCAACGTCTATGTCTTTGTTAGTTATGTCGGCCTTTAGACATCCCGCATGTTTTTGAACTTTTCTCAGAAGATTCTCCTCTGGCATAACTGGAAGCCCCTGAATTTCCACATTCATATTTCTTGAGTATTGTTCAAGCTCAGTTATCTCACTCATTACCTGCTTCATTTCTTTTTTTTGGAAGTTCGTTCTCATCGCGGCACTGGTTGATTTCGGCCCTAGTCATAGCGAGCTCATTCCTGACAGCCTGATTATCAAGCTCGAATTTTTGAAAACCATCACTCAAGAATCGTACAGATTTGTGAAGACGAGCGATTTCCGACTGAACTTCTTTATTCGAGGTAGTGATGCAAGCAACGTCAGATTTAATGCCTGACGTGAATGAATCTAACTTAGTGACCAACTCAGTCAATACTTTAACAACCTCTTTTATGCTTCCTGGTTGCTTTTCAGCCATGGCCATTGCAACGTCGTGTATGCCCCATAGATTCATTTCAGTGGTCATCTCAAGCTTAGCGAAATAGGGCAACAGTGCAACAAGAGACAGAAAAACACTGTCACAAGATAAAACTTGGTGCAAGTGAATTTTCAAATCCCTACATTAGCTTCTAGAAAAAAATGTAACGCTCAAAACACTCGTGGCAGCAACAGCGACGGGATGGCATGATACGCGAAGGCACGCAATAATAAAAAAAATACACCAACCTGCAAGTTATAGATGAGAAGCTTAGTATGCGTCCACCCACCGTCGGCGTCGCTGCCACAGTGAAAAAAGATGCGCGCCCGAGAAAAACACCGCCCACAGATGAGCGCGATAATCCAAGTTGCGGCACTCTTAACCAGATGGCAGTTCCTGTGACGAAGCCTGGCCCTGCTGCAAAGCAGCAAAATAGATAGCGATGAAATAGCTGGTGTTTCAGCAACCTTGTGGGCCACTGCACCGGGTTCCTTACGGTCAGATTTGGGCAGTCGCAGGCAGCTGCAAGTTATAGAAGAGAAGCTTAGTATGCGTCCACCCACCGTCGCCGCCGCTGCCACAATGCAAAAAGTCGCGCTTCCAGGAAAAACACTGCCCCCAAGATGAGAGCGATAATCCAAGTTGTGGCAGTCTTAACCAGATGGCAGTTCTGTGACGAAGTCTGGCTGGTCAGATTTGGGTAGCCGCAGGCAGCTGCAAGTGATAGAAGAGAAGCTTAGTATGCGTTCACCCACCGTCACCGTCGCTGCCACAGTGCAAAAAGGTAAAAAGGAACGTAGCGTAGTTTGTGCGCCTCATCCCAATAATTACACACGCTGATTTGATCATACTGTCCAGCCATTCTTCGACGTCTTTACCGCGAAGGCCGAAAAATACCGAAGGGTCTCAGTGAGAGGTGCTCACGAGCCCCGTGTACATGAACGCGACGGGGGCGGGCTGAGTTGAGTGGCGGGTTCAGCTTACCTCGACGCGCCCGAGTTTATATGAACTCGCACGGACGAGGTTAGGTGAGCGGTGATCGCAGCGACGCTTTGCGTCGAGGCCAGCCGAAAAGCCCGTCTTCCGGTACCGGTTTCCGCTCCTCCAAGCCTGCGCTCTCGCCTCTCGCCGCTGTGGGCGGCGGTTGTTTACGCAGTTGTCGCTCCGCCACTGCGATGGCTATCTCAACTCCCGTCTTGGCATTTTTTCTCAGTTTGCACCAGCTGTGCTTTATGGTTGTGTTGGTGTCTTGGCTAACACTGCACAATGCGATGACAGCAGTGGTTCTGTTGCGGCACAGCGCTCGCCACAAGCGTATCCGCAGCCTGACGCACCGTCCCGTGTTCACCCCTGGCTGGTCTCTCCAGGAATTCGCCGTGATTCATGGTTTGTAACGCCTTTCATTTATGTACCTGATGCTGTGGAAAATCCTTTGAAGCCCTACACGCGAGTCATTTTTTGCAATAGTTGTGGCTTGTCGCTAATACGAATTAAGCGGCGCCCTGAACCTCGTTGAAAATTTTAAATTGAAAACAATAAGCAGTTTTTAAATGAAAATGACTAAACACCCTCATCAATTGTTGGAACAAAGTGTACAGTTCCACCACAATTAAGTGCACCGTGTTCCTCTTGCCTCATACGCTCACCCTGTTTGGCTAATGTGATTTCTGTGGCTTTTGGACTGAACAGTGAGATCCTTACACGATGAACTTTTAATCTGAGGGCTTGTAATTTCAATTGGAATGTAATATACATTTTTGAATAAAATTCCTATCGGCTTAGGTAAAAATTCATACGGCCGCATACCATTTTGCCGTAATTTTACACCTCTATTTCTATTGTGCCTCCTTTATGCTTAAAAATGAAAGTAATTTGCTATTTTTATATTTCCTTGCAGGATTGGAGTGTACAGCACCACCGACCAAGCGGGCCGTGTGGATGCGAGAACGGTGCCAAGATTGGTGGGACCGAATTGTGGCTACCAACTTTAATGACAATGACTGGCGGGAGAATTTTAGAATGTCGAGGCACAATTTCTGCCACCTTGTTGCTGCCGTGGCGCCATTCATGTCTCCTTGTGAAAACTACGTGCGGACCCCTGTTCCTCTCGACAAGAGGGTGGCTATGGCTCTCTACAAATTAGCAAGTTGTGGAGAATATCGCATTGTGGCCAACCAATTTGGCGTGCACAAGCCAACTGTAAAGAAGTTTTTTATATGTTTTGCCAATCGGTGACAACCCACCTGGCAAAGGAATATGTGAAGTTGCCGTCAGCAAATGAAGCGAAAAAAATTGCTGAACGGTTTGAGGCAAAGTGCCACCTACCTCAAATTTTTGGAGCGATTGACGGTACTCACATACCAATCACAGCACCAAAGACCGGCTACCGAGACTTCGTGAACCGGAAGTTCTGGGCGTCATACAACGTGCAAGCAGTTGTGGATGACGGAGGACTGTGAGTGCATGTTCATTCTAAAATGGGGTACGCGCGCGGGGGCTAGCACATCACTACGTGAGGCACAAAACATATTCTGTTCTGGAATAATTCTAGGCTACATTAACTGTACTCGGTGACTTCTCTGGTCTGTTTGGGGGGGGGGGGTGAAAAGTTCGAGCCCAGTTTCTGTTATTGGCCATGTTTTGCACTAAATTGATCCTTATTTCATATGTGCCTTTGCTACTGCCTGTTCAAATGTTTTTTTTACTTGCAGCAGCAGCTACGAGTACCCCACTTTGTATTGTCTCACGTTAGAATTTTTGCTGTGCAGGTTTATGAACGTGTCATGCCGAGCCCCGGGCAGCGCTCATGATTCCACAGCCTTGAAGATGTCAGCGCTGTACAAGCGCAGCGACAACTTGGTGCCGCATGGGTTCCGCATGCTCCGAGGCACAGCCATTCCTTTCATGCTGGTTGGAGACCCGGCCTACCCTCTTCTGCCATGGATAATGAAGGGACACACAGGTAGACTCTCAAGAGAAGAAGAATCCTTTAATGTTTATTTAAGCAGCGCACGGAATGTTGTGGAACAGGCATTCGGTAGGCTGAAAGGACGCTGGCGCATCCTGCTGAAGCGTGCTGACATATATTATAAGTTTATACCAACTGTTGTTATAGCAACGTGCGCGCTTCACAACTTCTGCGAAACACATTCAGAAGGCTATGGCGCTTCGTGGGATCAGGCTGTCGCGGAAAGTGAATCAGTGCTCTTCCCACAACCCTCAAGCAGACCTCGCAGCTGGGTGCGGTCAGATATAAGGGACCTTCTCAAAGACCTCTTGCTGCTAATTTTCCACTACAGCAGAAGCACACAGGTATGATTTCTGCTCCAAAAATTGTTTATGCCATGAGACGTAGGTAAAAGTTCTCACCATAGTTCCATTAAAATGCCCCGTTTTCATCTGAGTTCAACATTTTATTCATCCACCTAAAATTCAGTGTTGCAAACAAAGTTTTTTTGTTCAGCTTTCACAAGATATATTCATTTCATTTCAAGACCAAGTCCTCTTGTGTATGCTAATTGGAACACCTGAGCTACTTAACAACCAAAAACGTGAGACAGATGTAAACAAATCAGGCACTGAAACGTACCATTGTCGTGATATGTAATAAGCTTTATGAAGTAACTATGCTCAGGCATGTTCACTGCCAATCTCTTGGTATAGCTTGATTGCACTCTCTAGGTCAACTGTCTGTTATCATTCATTGAGACGACTCCATTCATAAAGGGAAGTCAAACTTGTTCGTGAACTGGAGACACTATGACGATACAGTACCAATGCTCGCAAAGCTATGTAAGAAGCCAGTTTAGGTTTGTGAGAAATGGCATTTTGACTGCTCAAGTGCAGGGTATTGGTCGCTGGAGATTTTCGTTAAGCTTCGTTCATCACTGTCCCAGAATTTTTTTTTCCATGAAAAATTTCGGTGCCTCAGCAATGGCTGTGCTCACAAAGGCAACATGGCAGTTGTATACAAGCAATTTGTTTGTTTCAGCACTGTTATAGTGTCAACTGTTTAAAGTGGATAATGCCTGCGTACAGCTGGCGTATGCTTGTTTCGAGCTACATGGTTCTTGGTTACTTTATATTGCCAATACTCTTACTTTCAACATTTATGAAGTTTTTTGCTATGTAAATGTGCTTTCATTGTAGCCATCTTTTCCTTTGTGAATTTTAAACCGCAGTCCCTGAGTGTGTCTAATTGTATTTAGTGCTCAAACTTGTAATGTCAATTTTTTTCTCTGTGGTGCTGTATATTCCCTGGTTCCTTCAAGCTGAGGCTATATTTCTATGGCTCCTGTTGTTAGCAGTAAAAGTTGACGTTTTATTTTTTTCCAATGTTGGGCGCACGTTAAAGAACCCCAGGTGGTCAAAATTTCCGGAGTCCTCCACTACGGCGTCTCTCATAATCATATGGTGGTTTTGGGACGTTAAACCCCACATATCTATCTATCTTTTCAATGTTGTCTTCCAGTGTGTCAAAGTTGTGATTTCAATTTTGTATGCAAATAAAAATTTTCAGATATAGTTTCATCTGAATGGTGCATAATTTACGCTTTAGGCTATTTCAAGCAAAAAAAAACTTTGAAGCAATTTTTGTCTTCTACGGTTGAGGCTTCATTTTGTGAAACCTTATTTGAATTTCTCAATTTAAGTTTTTTTTGGCTCTTCCCCGCTGTTGCCTTTAGGCTTATATAAACGTTTCTTGATTTTGGGAAGTTTCTGATTTAAATCATTTAATTCATGGGTCCCGGGCGACTTTTCAATCGCGGTTTTGCGGTTAGTCGTGTCCCACTGCCATTGTGTGTACGCATCGTACTTGTGTTAAGCAGTAGAAACCAAGTGGAATTCCAGACAACGGAAAGGGTGTGATGTGACCATCTTCCACTCAGGTCCTAGAGTTTCCTAAGATGCACAGCACTAGTCTCTCACTACTGTGCCTTGTTTGTTATCCAAAGAGGCAGCGAGGCGAGACATTGCACTGTGGCATATCTGAAAATTCAGAAGAAAGGGCAAACGCGTAATCCTGGAGGTGAAATACTGGGCTGAACTCAGTGGCAGTAGGCGACAAATGGGTAGATGTTTAGGGGTTTCTATTTTGTTAACTACACACAACTGCACACACATAGAAAAGTTGGCCTATTGCCTCGGAGCGCGACTGTGCCCTGGCAGGTAGGACATGAACGGTGGCATTTGGGCAGAAGGAGGGGTGTGCATGCCTTGCAGACCGCTTAGAAGGTTGGCCTGATAAGCAAGAAACTGTCCCATAAGGGCTTGTGTTCCCTGCAAGAAGGAGTTTGTGACTCCTGCCAGGAGCTCCTTCATATTTTCAAGCTCTCTTTGGAGAAGCTGATTTTTCATTTCGAAGCGAATGGTATTTTGCTTCTCTTGCTGCTCAATGTTCTTTTCATACATCTTATCCAAAACCTTTTCAAACGTGGTTGTCTTGCGGAGCTTCGGGGGGGGGGGGGGCTGTTGCATCAGGGGTCAGGTTTCCACGTTGTGTTCCTGATGTGCTTGGTTCTCCTTGCGATGGCGTAGATGTTGCAGCTGAAAATAGAATTCCCATGAGAGAGCCTTTTTCACGTTTATCACAGCCTCTTTAGCTTTTTTCTTCTTCAGTCTTATGTAGTTTTGTCTCATCATTTCAGAGGGGGATGTAATTGACCTTGATGTTTTATGTATGATTCTTTTTATGACATGTGTAGGAATACGTGGTCTGTCTGCATGTTGGCTATAAGGCGAGTATGTGAAAAAGGCTTAACCTTTTCAATTTGCAAGTGCTACAAGTGTTATTTAATACTTTGTATTTTCCCACATATATTATGGTCTGAGGCTTTACTGTGTATGGAGGGAGTCTAAGAATCGAGAAAAGTAATTATTATCTCGAAGATTCTTGTACATAGAAAAACTGAGAAACTGCGGAGTAAGTCTTTTAAAAAGTGGCTTGTGCCTTAGGAAAACATGAGCCGCATATGTCTTGGAACACCTGACCACACTTGTTTTGCTGGCAATTTTGTTCCAAGAGTGGACATGACCTACTATGAACTCATGTATATGCAGTAAATAAAGCTTGCATGCATGTTCTCTGCATCGTTTTTTTTTTCAGTCATATTGAACACTGAAGTAGGAAACATGACTGCTGTGGCATTACAGCGCAGAAAAAAAGAACTTACAGGTTTCTAGATCGTCGCACGCATCTCCTTCCTCTTCGCGGCCATCTGCAATGAAAAGTATTGGGTTAGTGCATTTGCCATAGGTCTTCATTGTAATCAGGGACGGGAATATTGACAGTACAACCATGTGCATGGTCAATTCATGATCTACATTTATCCTGCGTACCATTCCTTGCCGAGTACCCCAGCACCTTAGACTGTGGAATGCCCTGCCTTCAAACAAAAATGCGGGATGGGCGGAGTAACACATTTAATTGTTATAACCGAAATGGGGATAATTGGTCAAACAGAATTTCGTCGCCATAAGAGCGCAAATTCGCTTAATTGGTCATACGTCATTATCAATAAAAAACAAGAATAACCAAAAGTTAAAAATATCACAAGAACGAAGTTACGAAATAAATACATGGCTCATTCCACGCTAAACGTTCCAGGCAGTACGCTCGACCATCTCCGATAAGATTATAAAAATTCATGGTCAATCGTTTGACTACACTAATCGCTTCCATTTTTGTTTTGAGACCAGTTTTCGGAGGAATCTTTTTCTAACTCTCAGAGCAATTTAAATATCGTGGCAGCGCCCAATAACTAGGTTGTGAAGAAAAAACTCGTGGGTATGAAGAACACAGCGTTTCCTTGGCACAACGCGTTCACAGCTACTAGGTTGTCTCAAGATGTTCTTTGAGAAAAGCAATGCGTTGTTCTTGGGCGATATTTAAACATTTTTTACAGCTCTTACAACTTTTTATGAGATAATGCAGCTGCATAATTTGTTTCTATTAGCTAGCGGTAAGCGCAGGAAACTGGAGCACGAATCAACAAGCCGGCTGCATCAAGAACACTGCATTGCTGCATTGAGCACGAAGAACAAGCCGGCTGCAACAAGAACACTGCATTGCTTCCCCGCAAAGCACATTACCATAGACTAGTGGTGAATGCGTTTTAACAAGGAAGTGCGGTTCTTTTTCTACCGACTGAAATCGTTTTACCGTGCTGCGTATAATATTTCACTTTTTCGAAGTTTCGTCGCAACCTAACTGCCACTATATTTACGAAAGTAAAATTTTCTTCAGAAAATTGGTTCCAAAAATGAATAGTGTAGTAAAGTGACCAACCATTACTTTTTATAGTGTCATCATTGATGGTCTAGCGTACTGTCTGGAATATTTGGCGTGGAACGACCCTCATCTCCTCCAAAACCCGAACACTAAACCCGAAAAAACGTTCGAAATGCCTAAGTCATTCAGGGATTCATGAAACACGAATTAAATAGAGCGAAACCAACCCTGGAGTACGCTTTTCCTCTGGGGAAAATTACATGTATTGGTAAAGGCACTTAATTTTTGTGATAAAGTCAATTTACACCACTTGCAAAAAAACCCAAAACAAAACTTACAAAGAATAAAATACCCGAAAGTATTTGCCTTTTCATAGTCGCACCGGGCTGTGAAGAACGCATAATAAATGCAAGCGGAGTTGGAATGCTGCGCATTAGTAGACAATCCTGTGAATTTACGCAAATGTATTCTGATGGCGAGGTGACCAGAAACTTTATTAAAGCGTTCATGTGCACGTATTTGATATTTCTGGCGCACAAGCCAATTTCCTGCTACGGGCAGAGCAAAATAGCCGGTCGTGAGAACAATAACCAACAAGCTCTCGTAGGACGTGCCAAGCAAGATTTAAACGTAAAAGTGATCTGCATTTACCGCATAACAGAACGATGTTCTCGTCTTCGGCGGCGGTGTCAACGCCGTAATCTCTTGCTTGCACCATCGGGCGGTCGCCAAGCAGAAGGCTCATTTTGTCAAACCACTTCCACTTTGATGGCTCCCCGCCAGTTTTGCATAGGAGCAGGCGTTCCTGCGAATGCCAAAAAAGTCATTAGAAATTAAAGCGCCCGAAAACTTTTCGAATCAAAGCGAACAGGGAGGTACTTACAGCCGTGAAGCGTTTCTTGAAATTCTTCCAACAGGTCCTTATTTGCTCCCACGTCCACGTCACGCCCCGTTCCTTCAAACATCTTTCCAGGTCCATGAATATGTCTTTATTTTTTTGCCGCTTGCTATCGAGCAAATCACTCAATTTTTTCTCGTTGACTAAAGCTAGCAACGTCGTTATTTCATCATCTGTCCACATGGTGCG